TGTGATTTTGATTAGATTTGGAGAAATTGGAGGCCGATTCGAGGGTCAAAGGCATCGCGGGCTAGAGTTTGAACCGGATTGAGGTAAGTCATGATAGTAAATGTTGTCCTAAGGGTATGAAACCCCGGATTTCACATCGTTGTGCTATTTTGAGGTGGCGCACATGCTAGATGATGAGCGTGGGGTCGTGCAACGTTGGAGACTGTGAATTAGTCCATCCCGTATGACTGTTAAGTCACGTATTTGATTGAAAACTGTTTGATACCATTGTGTTTTGGAAAGTATTGCTATGTTTTGGGCGGAATGCTATATTTGGGCCTCGTGCCAACTGTTATGGACCCTTATGGGGCTTTTTAACTACTATTTCTTACTGTTTTGACTTGATAATTATGCTCAGTCATGCTGTGTTTTACTGATTCCCTAACTCAATCTTATTTACTCAATTTTTATACTATAAATGATATTTTGAGCTGAACGCCCTGTTTTACTGATAGTCCGAGAGGCTTGTGAGGTTGATGGCTGAGAGGAGCCGAAGGCCTGATTGTGAGGTTAATGACTGAGATAGACCGAGGGTTTGATTGTGAGGTTAATGACTGAGAGAGGCTGATGGCCTGGTTGTNCCAGGCTACACGCCGCAGCGGTTATTATATGATACCTATTGAGCGTTAGTGCTGAGTGTGAGCGCTGATTGATAAGAGTTGAGTCATGAGTGACTGAGAGGCTTGCCCGAGGGGTTATATATACATGTATACGAGTGATGCTTTGCTTGAGGGGCTTGTTTTATGAAATTACTGTTTTCACTCATCTTTATGCTGAGCCTCTATCGAAAATGTTAAACAAATATTTTGAACAATTTTTATTGAAACTGGAACTTTTATGAGATGTTTGGAAATTAAATTACTGATTTGGTTTTATTATTTTCACTGAGATTTTTATGTTATGTGATGTATATGAATGACCGAGAGGTTTGTCAGAAGGGCTGTTTACGAATTATTTTGCCCGAGGGGCCGATTATGATTTTTCATCACTTTTACTATAAACTACATTGAACTTTTATTGAAACTGTTAGAAAGTTATCTTTCAAAGGATTTTACTGAAACTGGGGTTTAACAAGATGATTTGATTTGTATTCTGTTTTGGAAAAATTATTGTACCCGCCGTGGTGCTATGATGTGGATTACGCGATTTCTTACTGCTCAGACTTTATTTACTTTTATTACTTACTGAGTTGGCATACTCACATTACTCTCAGCACCTCTTGTGCAGATTCAGGTATTTCTGAGCTCGGTGACAGGTTCATCGGAGGTAGCAAAGTAGCTGTCTGGCGATCGCAGCCCTGCTTTTCTCCCTCCTTATTCTTCCCTAATGTATTCTTGTGATTTTCCCAGCCATATTGGTCTTGATGTTGTTAGACAGTTGTAGTAGATGCTCATGACTAGTGACACTCCGATGTCGGGCTTGTGTATTTATTCCGCACCGTTCATTTAGATTTATATCATGAGATTATTGATTAATAAATGGTATAAAAAATGACTTTATTGAATAATGATTGATTTGAGAATTGTGTCGGCTGGCCTAGTTTCACAATAGGCGCCATCATGACCGGGTCGGTTTTCGGGTCGTGACAATCCTGCTATACTAGAGTCGATTTATTATAATATAGTCTTGAAAGCTAATTCTTGTTCAGGATTTAACTTTGATTGTGCTTTCTCAAACACTTGTATGACCTTCTTAATATTATACTAATCTTTTTTACTTTGTGATCTATTTTTTAAATCTCTAACACTCTTTTTATGGAATAAATTTATGTACCCTAAGATTTTTTTTAACTTGAAAAATAATTTTACTCATATGATGAATTTAAAAAATAATTTAATTGGATTCTCTTGCTAAATAATTTGGAAAGATTTGATTATTTGGTTTTAACATAAAATATAATCTATTTTCTGTTGCTTTAGATTCTTAATATTAGTTCATCTTATTTTTGAATATTTAACCGTGATTATAATTTTATTTACTACAAGTTTTATTTTTAAAGAGTAAAAAGATCGATAACATTCCACTTTTAGATCTTTATGTTTGCAAATTTATTAGTGGTATTGGCTATTACCAATCTTTTTCTTTCTTTTCTCTTACATTTATATTCTTATAAATTTTCTTAGTTGTTCTTTAATAATTGGGTATATTTTTCTATATTGCACGAAAAATTAATAATAAAAATATATTATTTGAGAAGGAAAGCAGTTCAAATATAATATAATAATATATTATCGTGGGAATTTTTTCTCAATTTTAACGCTTTATACAGTCCGTTTAGCATTACTTTTTTTTTTGGTACTGAATATTATAGAGTGGTAAATGTGTTACCAATATGGAGGTGTTACCAATATGGAGGATTCTTATGAAATTAATTTTATTAAACCTTCCTACATATTTTTAATAAGAATTCAATAGACAAGATTGTATTAATTTTAAATATGTAGATATTAAAAAATTAACATAGATGTTATTGTAGTCCAAAAAAAAGTTAATACAACTATTTTCTTTCCCTATGAATTCTTCAATTTAATATTTTAGAGCTATTTTGGTCTATAAATATTATATCCGTAATTTTATAATCATATATAGGCTCTCATATTTTTAAATGGATTTAGACAATATAATATGTTTTCAAATTAAATTAGTAATATGAATTTTTTAAGAAATATATCCTAAAAATAAAAGGATTATAAGGCTAATAATATCTATTCCCAAAAATAGTTATATTAATAGGATTCCTAAAGGTAATCATGTAGGATTCCTAACGTCTAGTATTATGTCCCAAAACTAATAGGATTACAAGGCTAATGTCTAGAGTTCCGATTATATCCTTTTATTATGAGTTATTATGCTTTTAAAAAATTATTTTTGTAATCCAACATTTTATTCATGCTTTTATAATAATATAAATATAGATATGGATGAGTTGACTTGAGTTATTCAGCGGAATAATCAAATTGCAAGTAAATTGCGTGAATTTACCGTTACAAAATTTTGGTATATGTTTGACAATTTTGGTTATTTTAGCCAATATTGCAAATTCGCGATTGGCTGATACATGCTATAAATTTTGCTATTAATTTATTTTACTATCTTTGAAAATGTAATTTGAAAATTAAATATCTATTTAAAAGGAAATTTTATAAATCATAACAATCGAGGGTATAGTCTTCTTTACCCTTAAGCACGTGTTCTGTGTCAAATCCTTATCTTTAAATAAAACACAATAGAACAAAATAAAAGAAGGGTAAACCACGTGGTTAGAGTTACCTGATCAATACATGTATACTGATGGAACGTAATAAATACTAGTTGGTAGAATAATTGAAGTGTGCACGAAATATGCACGCAAGTTGCACCAGACATCATAGTTACCGCTCCAAAAATACTGAAGGCAAAATGTAATTAAGGATCAAAGTGGCATGATTTTGATTATTAAGAAGCTTGCCTTTAATCACATGTTCAATGCTTAAATCCTTATATTTAATTAAAATATACTGCAAAAGAACAAAATATAAGAAGGGTAAACTATGTGTTCAATGCTTAAGTTATTCCGTGGAATAATCAAATTGCAAGTAAATTGCCTGGATCTACCGTTACAAGGTTTAAAAAAAAAGGAACTTTACATATATTTGCCCAATTGTACCCATTTACAAAATTCGTCTCAATAATTTTATGCGTTGTATTATAGTAAAAATAGCACGGTATAGTCAGTTTTTGGATTGGTCATTCAAAAATAGCCACTATTTTATTGCAACAGATACCGGTCCAGCATAATATACTGGAGTTCGGTGCACCTGTGTATGAACTTCAGCATATTATGCTGGACCGGTATACTTTGCTGACTCCAGTATAATATACTGGAGACTGGAGCACCGCCGCTCCAAACTCCAGTTTATTATGCTGGACCGGTATACTTGCTAGAACTCAAGTATATTATGCTGGAGTTCTAGTGTACTTATGCTGGAACTCCATCATATTGTGCTGGCGCATTTTTCGGGTTTTGAACAGTGTTTTCGCTAAGATTTATCTTTATATGAAAAGTGGCTAAATTTTGATTACTTTTGAAACTGGGCTATTTTTGAACGACCAGTTGTAAATCTGGCTATTTTTGAATTTCAAATAGCACGGTATAGCCAGTTTTCGGACTGGTCATTCAAAAATTGCAAGCGTTTACCAAGTCAATGAAAAATAGCCATTATTTTGCTGCAACAGAGACCGGTCCAGCATAATATGCTGGAGCTCGGTGCACCTGTGTATGAACTCCAGCTTATTATGCTGGACCGGTATACTTTGCTGGCTCCAGTATACTTGCTGGAACTCCAATATATTATGCTGGAGTTCTAGTGTACTTATGTTGGAACTCCATCATATCTGGAGTTCCAACATACTTATTCTGGAACTCCAGTATAATATGTTGGAGTTCAAGTATACTTATGCTGGAACTCCAGCATAATATACTGGCGTATTTTCCGGATTTTGAACATTGTATTCGCTCAGATTTATCTTTACATAAAAAGTGGCTAAGTTTCGATTACTTTTGAAACNCAACCCCTTCATTGTTTTTTCCCTTCTTTTTTATGCATTTTCTTTTTCTCTTTATATGATATAATTTTCTTGAGTTGATGTTTTAAGGGTGTATATCAGTATATGGTTTACATGCAAAGGTTGCAAGGTGTATGTATACAGCAACGGAATCAGGATTTTCTCCAAGGGATTAAAAAAAATTAAAATGGCGAACCGAGGATTTAAACTTGCATTTCTTTTATGTTAACGGGATTCAAAATTCTATACATATGTAAAAAATGATTATTTTTAGCCTATGTATACGGTATAACTTTCCGACGAAAGATTTAATTGAATTCCCTTAATTGTATGTGGCTCCGCCGCTGTACGCACATTAGTCTATAAGGAAAACACTGATTTGGTTTCCTTTTTTATTTTTTGCAGTTTATGAAGGAATTAACATGGATTTTGCTACACGGCAAGCAAGTATTAAGAGTGTTTTGACATGCGGAATTTGCAAAAAGCTATGCAAAAAAGTCACCATAATTGAAGAATGCTGTCACAGATGTGAGAAAATCTTTGCCTTTTTTTTTTAAAATTAATTTTAATTTAATTCTTTTGGATTTCAAGATCTTCATTTTTCTCAATCTTTTTTTTTACGTTCTTTCCAATGTTTTTCATTAGAGTTTGTGTCATTTTCAAAGTTTATGTGATCTAGGTCTTTGCATGGACTTTTAATCTAGTACATATCATAATTACTGATTAATTAAGTCTCTTTAGTTTTATTTTAATTTTTCTTGTTTGATCAGTTTGTTACATTTGGCCCTAGTCGAGAAATACTGGATTATATTATTTTTATGTCTTATTTTTGGATTTTATTTTCTATAGCTATCAAAGGAGTTGAAGTTATCACTAGCTCTTTGGCTTAAATCCAAAGAATCTAGCAAAAGCTGCATGGTTTTATGAAGTTTTCTGATATCTGATTAATTTCTTTTTTCATATCTGATTAATTAATCTTTTAAATTTTAACAGTTTGCAAGAAGTGCATAACAAAGAAGATAACAGAAGAGAAATCGCATAGTTGTCCAGTATGCAACTTGGATTTAGGCTGTGCCCCATTGCAGAAAATCAGGTATTTAAGCCTTAAAGTCATATACTATTGATTATAAGGTTATATATTTACATGAAAATGCAAGGTAAGGCTGCGTACAATAGATCCTGGTGGTCCGGCCCTTCTCCGAACCCCGCGCATAGAGGGAACTTAGGGCACCGGGCTGCCCTTTATATGTACATAAAAATTTTACTGGGCATAATCGAATGATTAATACTGAGGTTGAACTTCATTTCTTTGGTTAATATAACATGTAATGCAACAAACTAAAATAGTACTGGCTATTTGGATCTACTTTTGAGCTGAAGATTTTGACAATATTGAGCAAAGTTGCTGGTTTTCTTTACTAGTTTGCATGGAGTTAATTTTCAATAGCAGTCCTGCTAATTAACTGAATTTGAAGCATTAAGAATGTAAGATATAGTTTGGACATTCTTTTATCTTGTTGTACTTAGAAGATCATCTTCTTTTGCACCCAAGAGTGAGGCTTAGCAATCAGTAAAGTGGGTGAAAATCATGATGGATCAGATAAAAAAGCATTAGGTGATTATTCCTATATGCTTATGGTGATCAGTATCTGTGCTGATGGGAAGTAGCAGGTACACGATGAAATAGTCAAGGTGCACCCGAACTAGTCTAGACACCATCATTTTTTGAGAAAAAGGATCATTTTCTTTTGATCTTGGCTTTATTTTCCATTTGGTTGATTTTACCAGCTACACCTATTCTTGAATTTTCTAGAATGGAGCAGAGAAAAAAGCACTCATGAAATGCTAAAACTATTGCCAGTTTGGTCATTTTCAACATAATTTGGCGAAAAGCATGAGAAACAACTGGATTTATGACCTTGAGAACAGCACTTGTGTCGCAGTGGCAGATTTAGCATTGGTTCTGCTAGTTAAACTGAACCAACCATATGCATATGTGTGAAAAAAATTAAGTGTAGATATAACCTTAATGCTTCCTTTACAGGCCTGATAACCAAGTCCAAGAGATTCGCGACATATTTTCTAATCGAAGAAAAGAATACATTGAGCGTGGAATAATTGAAGGAAACTCCAAAAAAGGCGAAAGCAAAAAGGTAGCTGAGGATAATAATGCCATGCTCATTGATAATCCATTGCCTGCTACTAGTTCAAGGAGAAAGGAGAAGTCCATCTCTTCCTTAGTGACTACTAAACCTGAAGTTTCAAATCATCAGAACGTTCCGAGTGGAAGAAAAAAAGGCCATGCTCCTCGTTTTCAAGATCCCATTAAATTTGATCTTAATGTTGAGCACAAGTTAAAGGGAGATCAGTCTGGAAGTTCAAATACTCCTCTTCTTTCAAGCAAAGCTACTCAGAATAAAGAACAGGTTGGTGGAATTGTAGTTTATTGTTTTACTCATATGTCTGTTATTGTGTAATTTTCTCTCTAGTCTCCCATTATTTTTGTTGATTGGAAAAAGCCTCTCTACCTTCACGTAAGGTCTACGTACGCATTACCCTCCCCAAATCCCATGTGGGATTATATTGGGTTTGTTGTTGGTTTACCTTATTTTAACACAACAGCAACTTGATGCTGCACAGGCTAAAATGTTCAAAATATGTGCTACTGAGATGTGGAACTTTTGGTCCATTCATTCTCTTCTAAAAGGCATTTGATAACAATTTAAGGAGAAAGTAACATGGTTGTAACAAGTTCTAAATATTTTGTTGACAGTAAAACCTATATCAATAAAAAGTATTGAATCGTACTAACCTTCTTATCTAAAAGCTTAAACTGCTAGAGAAGGCATTGAATCTTCAACATTTTCTCCTCACATGTTAGTCTGATTCTTTTTCACTGGTCAAGCACGTCGAAATTCATTTTGATATGGCAGTGAGACTTGAATTAAGAACCTTTGTGTGCTCTAATACGATATTGAATTGCGTGACTTTCATGTAGCCAGTTCAATGGCGAAGAACGACATAAGATATATCAACCCGGCCACAACATGAGACCAACGACGACCTTCATTTCCTTATTTATTTGGATACATTTGTTGCTTTGCTAACTCCTGTCATCGCCTTTTGAAGGTGGAGAGTCCTAATGCTGCTGAGTCCTCAAAGAATGATGTCTCAAAGAATCCTACTCCAAGAAAAGGTGAACCACTGGATGGTATGAATGACCTATGGGAACCACTAAATACATTGGTAATTAAAGGTGTGAGTTTAGGCAATTCCAACAAATCCAAGTCCACAGAGCCTGTCTCAAACTTCGCTCCGATAGTCAATCTTGAAGATGAAGATGAAGACGATGAAGAAGATGACGAAGAAGATGAGGAGTACGTCCCTTCTAAAACAAAGGAACACAAAGTTAGCAAACCAAATGTTCAAAAAGAGGAAAATAGATCAAGTAATATTGCAGCTGCAGCACCATCAAGTACTTCAGGAAAAGGCAAAAAGGGACGCCGTGGCAGAAAGAAAAAGGACACACTTCCCTCTGGTGGCGGATCAAGTAATGCGCCAGAAGTACGAGTTACTAATGAGGCCACAAGCAGCAGTAAAAAGAATGAAAGAACCAGTCCTATTTGGTTTACTTTAGTTGCATCTGATAAACAGTGAGTTTCTGCCTTAAGTTCAAAAGAGTTTCTTGAGTTTAATCTTAGGTAGTAGTAATATATAATAAGATGATTATATTCTTGCACTTGTTGTTTCAGGGAAGGTCATTCACCCTTGCCACAGATTCCTTCCCGCTACATAAAGATCAAGTAAGTCCCTTTATTACCACCAAACAACCATTAATCCTTGTGGTTTTTAGTTTTTACCATCGTTTACTTTTCCGAAGGGGCTCTTACCAGCAGCAATGAAGCCAGTAATTTTCTTAAGGGTGTTCAAACTTGAAAGAAGTGAAATAAATTCTTCGACAAAGAGTGTTCAATATATGTTATATACCTCTAAAACTTAATATTTTACCTATATACATAGTGTTATTTCCCTTTAAGACATGTAGCTTCGCCCCTTCTTACCAGTTTCCATGAGCATGTTATCTTTTCTGGTTAAATAGGGATGTGAATATGCCTGCTTTGTACATAAAGAAGTATCTTGCACAAAAACTGAGTCTCCAGAGTGAAGACGAGGTAATACTTACTGCGACTTCAAACTTTATTTTATTAGCTTCTGCATGACACTTGGGAGTTTGAGATGTATTACATGCGCGCAGGTGGAGATTCGCATATTAGGCCTTCCGATTCTTCCTGCATTGCCACTGTACCGACTAGTTGAGCTGTGGTTACGTGCAGCACCAAGCTCAGAAATTAGAAAGGCAAAAGTGGGAGGTTCTGCCAAAGATTTCGTGATGGTTTTGACATATGCTCGCAACCTTAGACCTCAACCTCATTGACTCTTATCATCAGTGTATTGTGTTGTACAAGTATGTGATTCTATTATCACAAATGTGTTTCAGTTTCTCCTTTTGCTTAAATATTCATTCATCGGATATTCGCAAGGAGAAACCTTTATATGCTTGCCGTAAACTCAGATGCTTTTGGTTTAGTTGTTAAAACTATAATGTCACTTGAATTTTGTTTATAATTAAGTCAATCTTGGTATACAAAATGTATGTTTCATTTCTCCTATATTTGTTAGGTTGCAATTTTTGGTTGATATTTAGACACAGGTGCATCAGGTTATTATTGTCAAGGTCTGGGAGTTCACCAATGCATTTTTCTACAATATCTCATCTTTGACAACCCTAAGTTGAGGTAGATTTAGGATTTAAACTTTATGAGTTCAATCTTTAAGGTTCTTGCCGTTGAAATCATTATATTTTTAAAATAATGGATTCATATTCACTATGTCTTGCAATCTTAGTGAATCTATATATATTTATGTTCTGTTTTCAAAAGTATTGAGTTCAGATGAACCAAGTGCTGCAATGTTGCATCCGTCTTGTATGTCCTTAAGCTCCTTCTCTAATGTACACCCATCCACAATAAACATAATACCCGCTCCAAACCTAGGACCAGAATTCGAGCTCGAAAAGAGCGCATTGATGACCCTTTTCCAAAACCCGACCCAAAATTCAAATTCGGGTCTTGGATCAAACCATTTTTGCCCAATTCATATTTGATACTCCATAGTTCCATACATTTCATTGATCCCAACTCCCCAAACCGAATTTTTTCCATAAAAGTATGAATTTGCCCATGTATTTACTACTTTCTCCGGTCCAAAATAAGTAATTTTTTGGGTGTTCTCACAGAGATTAAAAAAATCACCTTTTAGCATTAAATATCAATAAAAATGACCATACTATCCTTTGCTATCCATTTTGGGATTTGGGATGTGATTATTCTCAACTCTCACTAAACATTTAATGAAGCAAATGGAAGACGCAACGGCAGAACATTCATGATTAGCAATGATCTCAATTTGTCAGACGAAGCAACGCTTGAAAAATGAATTCAAATTTTCAGAAAGAATCTCAATTTGTCTAGAATTTTAGTTTTAAAATATCAACAAAATATAAAATGGAGCCAAAAACATTTCCCACCAAGAATTCTCTTATAAAAGAAGGTTTAATTTTCTAAAATGATAAAATAAGCATGACTACGACACAAAATAATCAAAACGTGAATCTGATATTGTATAATCTGATGTAAACTGTGAGTATGCCATAGTTGAAGAGTAATAGAACTAGAGAAATGGAAACGTGAATCTGATCATATGGAAGAATTCAATTGCATTGGAAATAAACGCTCTAATAACATATATTCCAACAATATTTACTCCAGGGGCAATATAGGGAAAAAATATTAATGCTCTCTTGAAATATGTAAAAATCACTTATTTTGGACGACAAAAAAAAATGCTAGAAAATCACTTATTTTAGACCGGGTTGCCCTTTTATTATATGAGTTACTAATTCTATCAAAACTTAAGGTCAAACGTTAAGTCGGAGAAATTCCGGTGGCGGGCTAATATAGAATGAGATGATCACAAATACCTATATCTTGTTTTATACCACAAGTTTCAAAAGTAGCTTTTTTATGATTACATCAGTAATAATTCGGCAAAAAGTATGATAAGAAACAACCAAAGTGCTAAAGGTGATGGTTTTGATCATCTTCTTCAGGGGAATGATTCTTGAGACTACATTGTTGATGATCAATCATCCACTGTCCTTTGTGCTGCTCAATAAGCGTTCTGTATTCTGTTTCCCACCAATTTGGTGGAACAGAGAAACCATCTTTTAAAAAGTCTGTTGTTTTGTTCACCAAAGCTTTTTCCCTACTGCTCCCATGCCAAATGCTTCTTCCTTCCCCATGAAATCTGCTCATATATGAACATATCGCAGTTAGTCATAGGCCTTTGACATTTCAGATTAAAATTCTGTGCAACAATTTTGTAGAGGTGTCGATGGAAAAGAAAGGGGTGATCATAAGAAAATGGATCTTGAATTCTATGTTAGCTTGGGCTCTCCGAAAATGTCAGTGGGTGTGTATCGGATCCTCCAAAAATAGTGTAAGTTTCGAGGATCCGACACAGGTGAGACAGTATTTTGGAGAGCTCCCGCAACATAGCTTGGACCTAACTCAACCCTAGAAGCTAGCTAAGATTGTCCAAGACCATAAAAAGAGACAATCTTATTTCTAAAGAGCCGATATGGGACTCAACATCCCCTGCACGCCCAGGACTAAATATTTGGAGCGTGACAATATAAGACGAGGGTCCAACATCGGGTTAATCATGAGTTAGGACGGGCTTGGCTTTGATAACATGATAAGAAAATGCACCTTGAGCCTAACTTAACCCTAAAAGCTAGCTCAAGAGGTAAAAACTGCCGAAAATCATATAAAAAGACCATCCCATCCCTAAAGAGATGGTGTGTGACTCAATAGGGCTCAAACCCATGACCTATAACGGGGACAACTTTACCGTTGTTAATAATTATATTATTATTTTAAAAAAATCATAAAATATAAATAAATATAATTCAAAGTTTTGGTCGCTAACTGAAATAGAGACCAACTTTGATCGCTAATCTGGGACCCAGTTCTAACGTTTAACAATTATATTATTATTTTAAATATTATATAAAATATAAATCTGATTTAAATTTATCGACCAACTTTGGTCGCTAATTTTAATTTATGTATAATTAGCGACCAAAGTTGGTCTCTTTTCAGGTCAACATTGGTCAAAATTAAAAATCACTTTTGTATTTACTATCTAAATAATATAAATGTAAACCGTTAACACTTTTGTAATACAAGNTATATATATATATATATATATATATAGCTTATATACTATATACTATATACTATATTATACAATATATATCGAATATAGCTTGCACAATTAAGTACCTTCGAAAGAATAGGTTTAAAACAAGTAGTTAAAACTACTGAAGAGACTATCACTGTATATAATGACCATGCTATGTTTAGATTATTATCTGAAAGTAATTTAGCCCCTTATAGGGATTCACATAGATTCATACATATAGGCTTAATACAAGTCGCATTTAAGCCACTTACTTTAAGAGGTGTTAGCCAAAGCATTAGCTCTGCCTTCTCTAGTTTCTCTCTCCACTTGTAAAGAACCGCTTGTGTAATATTTTCATTTTGGAAATAAAATCAAAAAGGTCTCTTGGCCATAACTAAGGGTCTCTGGTCTGGTACTGTTCTTCTCCTTCCCTCTTCCATTTTTGCAGTATTGTTAGCCTAAATGATAGGCTAAACAAGTAAGTGTTAAACTTGGTTCTTGAAGGTTATTTACTATACATGTTTGGTAGTTAGGAGTTTACTGTGTCAACCCGATGGAGTTTTGGTTAAGAACTATATAGACCAGGCAGTTACTAGTCTCGACAGTAAACCTTGGTTAGGCCAACCTATATATATAGCTTATATACTATATAGTTGTAATTAACTTATAGATTGACATTATACTAAGTATTAGTGTATTAGCTAATATTATATATATATATATATATTTAAAAAAACCAAAATAGGAAAAAAACGTTATTTGAGTTTTTTTAGAAATAGCGACCAATTTTGGTCGCTATTTTGGTCAAACAGTCAAAAATAGCGACCAACGTTGGTCGCTTTTTTGTAAATCCAAACTCAAAAACGGGTTTCTCCCTCCCATTCTCTTATTTTCTTCCCAAAATTTCCTCAAATTCTCTCACACATTCCCCTCCCCTTCTCTATTTCCCTCACACAAATCAATCCCCCCACCCCGCGCCACCACTGTGACCGCCTGAGCCACTATCGGAGCCGCCGCTGCCCCTTTCTCTCCTTCTACACCTAAAAAAACTAGGTTTGAATTATAACCTTGAATCTTTGTTATTTCTAGTTTTTGTTTCAATTATTTCAATATTGTAGTATAAGGATATGAATTAGTGTTTAAATTCTTTGAACATTGTATTTTATTGAGGATTAGGGTTTAGGTCTTGTTTTAGTTAGCTTTGTTAATTAATTTTATTAACTAATTAGTTTAATTAGTGTTGAATTTAGTTTAGTTAAATTTGAATTATACTTTGTATTGTATTGATAGTTTAGTTAGAATCTAGGGTTTAGTTTATGTATTGGAATTTTAGTTTATAAATTGAAATTTAAGTTTATAAATTGAAATTTTTGTGTATTAATTGAACCTTTAGGATATGAATTGAACATTTAGGATATGAATTGAAATTTTTGTGTATGAATTGAAATTTTTAGATATGAGTTGAACCTTTAGGATATGAATTGGACGTTTAGTTTATGTATTGAAATTTTAGTTTATAAATTGAAATTTTAGGATATGAATTGAACTTTTGTGGATATGAGTTGAACCTTTAGGATATGAATTGAACCTTTAGGATATGAATTGGACTTTTAGTTTATGTATTGGAATTTTAGTTTATAAATTGAAATTTTAGGATATGAATGTGACGACCCAAAGGGTCATCACTGGTTTTCTCCCTTTTTTTGTGCTTCCGAAGCCTTGAAAACCTCACCTTTAGTTGCCTCGATTTGCATGCGCAGTCCGGGCGCGTAGCCGGAAAAGCTTATGTGTTAAATTATGTGAAATTTGATAAATTGTGGCTTTAAAATGATTAAAGTTGACTTTGGTCAACATTTTGGGTAAATGGACCCGGACCCATGATTTGACGGTCCCGGAGGGTCCGTAGAAAAATATGGGACTCGGGTGTATGCCCAGAATCAAAATCCGAGCCCGAAAAATGAATTTTTTGAAGAAATTGTTTTCTGAAGTTTAATATGAATGTTTGAAATAAAAATGAATTAGAAAGCATAAGTATCTGGCCTGTATTTTGGTTCCGGCAACCGGTACAGGTCTTATATGTGGTTAAGCACTTTCTGTGAAATTTGGTTGAAATCGGACGTCGTTTGACGTGATTCGGACTTGAATTCCTAAATTTGAAACTTGATGAAGTTTAAGAAAAACTCTTGATTTTGAGGTTTGATTCATTGTTTTTGAAGTTATTTAGGCGATTTGATCGCACGGATAAGTTCGTAT